TTAATAAATTCATATTATAAGATAAAATAAAAATTAATATTAAATTAATATATACCTGTATATTTATTATATAGGCGCAGTATCGAAAACTTTTTTTAAAAAATCGTATTAAAGAATTTGATAATAGTTTGGAAACTGGTCAACCTATGTCTGAAATTACTATTAAAAAGGCAATTAAATATGTAGCAAAAGCATGGGATTCTGTTCAATCAGAAACAATTGTAAATTGTTGGAAAAAGACAGATATTCTTCCACATGATAATGAAGATATTGAAATTGATGATGAAAGTTCTTTTACTAATGATGATATTGATGATATTAATAAAATACAGGATCTTATTGACCAATTAGCTAAAGATATATACAAAGATCCAATCTCCGCGGAAGAATATCTTCAATATGAAAAAGAAGAAAATATTCATCAAATGACAACTGATGAAGAAATTTTAAAATTTCTGAGAGAGCCAGAAGAAGATATTGAAGAAGAAGTTGAAGTTCCCATCATTGGCAATTATGAAGCATTAGCAGCACTTGAAAAAATAATTATGTATGTTGAACAAAAAGCTGAAAAAATTCAATTTCAAAAAGACCAAATTCGGGCAATAAAAAAATTGCGAAAGGCTATAGAACGAGAAGAATTTTGTTCCAAGCAACAAGTTACCTTAGACTCTTTTGTAGGAATGGATTTGACAGGTGAGAAAAACGAATAGAAGTTTGTAAAGTTTTATAGCAGGAAGGATTTTTTTTTTTTACCAATTTTGTCATTAAACCTCTCGAATATATAATAAAAATGACAATCATATTATAAATAATATACCGAATTTGTATATGATATTCGATACAACCATAAATGAATAAACTTAAAAAATTCGGTGAAATGTTACCGAATTCTTTTATTATAACGAATTGTGATCTCCGAAAATGGAGATTCGTTATAGATCACTTCGACTGTATATATATTTAATTTAATAAATATCTAATACTGGTTCTAAAGGATTAATTATTATTTGTAAATACTTTTAGTTTTTTTGTTAATATATCCAAAAAAGCTGATAAAATTTTTGCAAAAAGTTTTTATTGCATTGTTTTTGATTTCTCGGTTATATAACGCTATAATAATCATGAAAGATAATTCCAATTTTAGAAATTAATTCTTTAAAAAAGAAATTTTCTTAAAACATCAATTTAATAATAACTAATTTATCTTTTTAATTATTTTACTGATCGTGATCATTTATTTTAAAATTTTTAAATTAAATTAAATAAATTATATATATTAAAAAATATACTTTATTATGAAGTCATTATGAAGTCATTAAATTTCGTAAAATCTATGGTAAACAGTTTAATATGTGGACCAATCAAGTTCTTTAGCCGGGAAAACCGTAAGTATACCCGGAGTATTATCTAAGGCAGTCACGTGAAAATTCGTCAATGACGTTTTTAAAGAATATATTTATCGAGAGCATCAAAAATATGATGATTTGGCAATACTGACTGACCGTACCCAAGAAAGAAGATATCGCCTTTTTTTCAGCTTATTTGTTTAAATGAAAAAAAATATTTTTTTTCTTTAATAGCTATCAAATCACATACTATCCAATTTCCTTTTAGCTTATGACATATTTTATGATGCATATTCACACGCTAATAATTTCTCAAGTGGAACAGCGAAAGAATTTTTCTTCGCTAACTATAAAAGAATTGATCAATCCAAAGAAAAAAAAAAAGAATAACAATGATAAAAAATATTGAAAATGATATCATGTTTACGTTATGAGAAAATATACTTTTTATGTAATTTAAATCCCTATAAAAGATAAGTTTAGAAATCAAACAGACAATTCCATACATTCCTAACTTGGATAATTTTGGTAGACCCCGGAAGTTTCCCGGAATTCATTTTTGGATCGAAATGATGAGAAAATAATAATAAATATCTATTTAGATCAGCTCCCGGATTTCCATCTTTAACGATAGATTTTGTTTCTTTCCAAAAATGATTTAATATGTGAACTCTAACATGAGAGAATCGAGAATTTTTTGGATATACTTTTTACAATATCAATATCAACATTTTTTTACGATTTGATACGCGTCCCAAAACATTTATAAATTGATGTCTTTAACTTTAATCAAATATTGCAAAAAATGTATCCGTATAATTGTTATAATGGACAAATACTTTCCAATGGTAAAGTTACTCAAGCAATTCTCGACTTACGAGGAAACTTATGTTTCGTTGTCGTGAGATTAGAAAATGGTGTACAAATCGATTTACCAGTACCTACAATTCAAGAAATTAGTGAGAGATTTTTTTACAGGAAAGCAAAAACTCAACCTGATAAACCAGCCCGACCTCCAAATAAATTCTTTATATTTCGCACCATGTTCCAAGTGGCCATTGATAACTTCAAACTTCAAGTTCCAATTGTATCCAGTCTTGCAAGTGAAGTTTGGCGTAAATGCACTCCAGAAGTCATTGAGATATTTACAAAGCTCTCGAATATTGCAAAAATGGAACACGGGAAATTAAACCCTGGATACGTTTATAAGCCTAATAAGACCAAATCACATTATAAAAGAAATAAGAATAATCAAAGTACTTTAATTTATCCTTTAAAAAGACCGATCATGGATAACTCTCAATATTCGACGATTACGCCCATACGGACCGCACCTCCGAGGACAGCAAACTCGTATTCTTCAACTTCTTTGGCATTACAAATGAATTCTTCTACAGCCGCTGAAACTTTCCAAGCAATTTACCCTTCGCAACATCAATCAATTTATTATGTGTCTTCCATAGGAACAAAGTAGTGTGTTGATTCGGCTAACATACTTTCTTGCGAGATCTTGAATTCGGATAAGCAATGCGAAAGATGGAAGGATAATTTTTCATTTTAGCAAATAATTAGTTAATTAAAAATGATATTTATTGATTCAACCTTCAAAAATTTTATTAATGAACTTTTTCTTTTTATCATTTTAATCTTTCGATCCGATATGTAAATAAGTACCTTGCCTTTTTATTAAAATATTTATTATGTATTCTTATTTTCATGTTTTGATTCATAGGATTTCTAAGTAAAAAGGTTATTAAATTGCATGTTCTCGAGTGAATAAAAGCTAAATATTTCAAATTAGAAGTGTATATATATCATATCGGTTTAATTTTTTATTGGGAGGGGTAATCTCATTGGAATGAATAGTAGGCCCCCTTGTTGATGAACAAAAATGGGGAAAGATTCCAGTGAGCACAACTAAAAATGTAAGGTTACACCGATTATATTGATTAATGTATGTGGCGCATTTTTGCAAATAAATGCGGTCAAGTCAAATTTTACAACACAAACCTCATGAGACATTTCAAGTTAAATTGGAGGGCGAGCAAAAATACACACGTATTTATAATTTTTTTAAAAAGTTCAAGTGATGTTTATTAAGGCAAAATTTCGAAAAGAAAAAATTTTTCGAGAAAATTGTCTGTGACGCATCATCTCTTAAAACGTAATTAAATATTTCATTTGACTTTCACGTGGTTAATTCCTATATGTGCAAATCACGTGGTTTTGTTTAAATGGCTTTACCAAATAAGGTTAATTATTTTAATTAAAGAAAAAACATTACACGTTTTTTTAAGGACATTGTATTGGTTATATTGTGTTTATTTTTTTTTAAAATAATGACGAATTATTTGAATTATTTCCAATAAAAAGATGGTGATCACCCGATTTAATCATTTCTTTTTTTCTTCAACAAACACATAATTATAATTATGGTAGTGTCAATCAAAACTTTACTTTTCTTAGCTGCGTTTTTCATCTTCATATATTATGGAATCGAATTTCTTACAAGATTTGTTGAAAGAAAATTTAAAATTCATATTGGATTGATAGGTTTCTTATCAATTTCCAACATATCTTATGATGGGAAGATTTTTGATCCACACCAAACTCAACATTCTTTTAAAATTTCCGTAAATAAAATTCGTTTAGAAATTAGACCACCAGATGTGAATCGTAAAATATGGCTTACGATCACGATTGAAGGTGTCTATTTTAATTTTTCTTCAATAAAAATATTCTTACAATCCATAGAACAAAAGGAGTTAAAGCCCAGTTTAATTGCTATGGTACCTCAAGAAGCTTGGTGGTTATCCGTCTTGGTTGGTAAATATGTTAAGGAATCGATTACATTGCAATATTTCCTGTTGAGAGTTGCAAATTACGTTGATATAAATGTTACTAGTGTCGATGTTTTAATTGAAGATTTGGGACAATTTCAAATTGAAGGATGTACTTTGGGAATGAATTTTAAAAGATCCCACCTTCAACATGGTAGTGATGGTAGTAATAATTTACAAGAACAATATCTAATTATTTCTCTCTCATTTTCATCATTATCAATTCGAAATATCGAAACTATCAAGAACCCTTCGAATTCACCTCCCGATATTTTTTCAATTCATATGACCGAAATTGTTTTATCTTGTTCCCTTTCTCCCGCCTGTACATCGCTTATATCTATTGACATTGACGTTAAATTAAAAAAAATCATTATTGGTGTGGATTCCATACTTGGTTTAATCAAGGTTATTCAATCAAAGATTTCACCAACTGACAAAGTCCTGAGTACACTTGATTTACCACAATCATCAGTAGATTTCATGATGGATAATTTATTGAATTCTTCATTAGACAAAATATTAAGTGCGAATTTAATGGTGGATCTAATTGACATTAAATATGAATTTTCAGGATTGGAAGATCCTTTAACCGTTAGATCATCATTTGAAGGACTTTTTGTTTCACTGAAACAAAATAATATCCATTCACTTGAAAATCAACGGAGATCAACCCTTTTCACTGAAGAAATTCCCATCCCCTTAAAATCGATAGAATTTTCCGTTGATCATATTCATGGGGATCTTGTAGATCATCAACATAATATTTCTCGAATTCAAGTGAATAAAGTTGAAAGTAATATATTGATTATGTTAATATTTAAACCGGTCGTCTCAACTTCGGATGATGATTCAATTTCATTATCATTAAATGGGACTTTCAACATTTTATCTCCCGAAATATCCGTGAATTGTAAACAACTTGATACTATTATAAGCATCATAGTTGGTCTTGGAGGAAAAAGTTCATCACCCAAAATTACGGAATCAAGTCAGCAGATGAAGAATAATTATAATACACCAAACACACCAAAATTAGTCGTCAGTTTTTCCATCGTTGATCCACTCGTTAAGTTTACGAGAATTCCATATTCAAATAAACCTGATGATTTTTCACAAATCTCTTTTGGATTTCAGGAGTTATTATTTGATATCAGTGGTGATTATACAGCATTTCAATCCCAACGTGTCTTAATAACAAGAAGATATAAAATTTACCTTGACGAGATCAAAAACAAGTTCAAATTGCCAAATGTTTTAAGTATATTTAAGAAGAAAGAAAAAAAACAAGTGATATTAGAAAATGAGTCCGCATCGGTTTATAATTTAGTCGTAAACGTTAATGCTCGTAATATGAAATTATATATTTTCGATTATAATTTAAATTTGAATCATTCTTTAAAATTTCATTTAGCATTTTCCGTTTTGGGTCTTGTGATTTCAATTAATGATAAGGATGATTCTAAAGTTTTCACTATATCTTTAATATCAGAAAAATTTCAAGTGGACATTAGTTGGACGATTGATCGACCTCTTATCTGTCAAATTCTGGGGCATTACAAACGAATTCGTTTACAACTGTCAAAAATTTCTAAACAATTTGCCCTTCGCGAAGCAATTTTGCGTTCGGTAGATCAATTTATTGAATTCATAAAGTGTCTTCTAATCAATGGCTTATAATCATTTTTAATACTATTTTGCAAGTACCTTTTTCCAAATTGTAAACGAATATAGTCAAGAAATAAATAGAATTGAATTGCAAATCTCAAGTTATACGAAATGAATTTGCAAAGCGTTTCGCTTTTTATTATTATTATTATTATTATTTCGTTAAACATATGGAATTATTATGCGATATGTCGATATAAATCATGTTACTAGCACACCCTAATTGTTTAAATTAAATGATAATCAACGATTAAGTATAACGTAATGAAACCTGTATTTTTGTTAAGCTCCTCGACCAACTCGATAATTGATTCCGCAGGACTTGGGTCCATTTCGTATGGATCATTTTTTCGAGTTAACTTTTCTTCAGTAAGACGAAGGAAAGCTCTACCATTAAGTTTTTTATCGCGGATTTTTTTTAACATCACTTTCATTGAAATCAGAAACTTTCATATGGCACTCGAGAAATTTTTTAACATGGTCTGGAGACCACGTTTGAACTTTGCTAGGAAGTTTATTGACTTGAGTTTCCGTACTTTGATGATCATTTGATTTTCGCTTCGCAACTATCATTTGTATTTAAAAAATATAAATTAATGATAAAAAATTTTTTTCAATCGAAGGCAATTCCTCAATTTCTATAAGAAAATACATATACATGTAAATCAGCTACTTCTCATTAAATTTAAAAGGAATATAGGCTTCCAATAATGTTGATATTAGCTTACCCGACGGAACGTTATCAACATATCTAATTAATTTTGTAACGACTTTTATATAGTCATGTGTTATCATCAGAAGAAGGGTAAAACTGTTTGCTTCCACCAGCTTTATTTTTTTACCCCAGGATGAAGTTTTCCATGATCTCCATCCACTACCACTTCACTAGTTTCACTGGGTTGACTGATAATCGAACTTTTTGCTCGTTAAAATTGTGTGGCTTCTTCTAATGTCCGAAAATGTATATGGCCCCAACTAAATTTTGAATAATTTTTGTTTAGAAAGTATTGATGTCAAAAATTCACACAAATCATTGATAAAAGTCGTTAATATGAACTACGTTGATATCACGAAATTGTTCCTCTATCCAAGTCTTAATCAAACTGTCTTCCACGTCGGAAAGTTGGTCACCGTCCGCCCAGAAAAAAATATTGAATATTTCTCTGGTGTATAACAAATGTCGAATTCTATTTCACCTATATATAAAATTAAAAGGGATTTCAAAATCATGCAGTGAGGGATGAAAGGTAACCCCTACTACCAACGAGTGGTGGGAATAGGGATGCTAATGGTCAAAGGCTTCTGACTGACCGGTTGACCGATTAAACACCTTGTTTTAAATAGTAAAAGAACTTTATTAACAAAATCAACATTTTTATTTTAATTATCAATAAATTAAAATTTTGAATTTTGAAAAAAAAAAATTAAAGTCGACGATAATGCCATGCTAAAATTTTTTAAGCAAGAATCAAAATTATAATATTTGACTAAATTAAACTTCTATTAAGCCAAAAATGCTTTATTATTATTAACCGGTAGGTCAACCGGTCAGTTAAAATCGGTCATCTTCTAAAAGTAACTGTAACAATAATACTGATACATTCAATTAAGAAGAAAATAAATTTATTTTTGTGGTTTTTCAGGACGATCTGATTGTTTCATACAAGTTTTTTCAGGATAGGCTGCTGATCATTAATTTAATAAGCAAACAATTAATACATAATTTGCCGATCGTGTACGTGACAAAATAACTACTCGAGTCATGAAGAATATGAAAAAGATGCATTATCATAGGATGATAACCAATTACAACTTTTTTAAGAAAATATCCTTAGTTATTAGTATTGAAAAGATGTCCTGTATAATGAATGGATTTTTAATTCTATAAATCTTTTTTCTTTTCACAAATATGTTCATATTTTACATGTGTTATCATTGGTAGAAATTTATAGTTCTATCAAAATTCTTCCTTTAAACAAAAAAAGCAAAGGGTAAAAAACAGAAACAATTCAAAAAGGAATTCCACTACGGGTAAATATTTTTTTTCGATTTACTTTTTGGTAATTCATTTTTTTTTTTTTTTGTAATACAAAAAATGCAAATTGAAAATCATCCTATAAAAGAAATACTAGGGATCGATTTGATATTCGTGTATTTTTCCACTTTTCTTTTCCTTGTACATATAATTATTTAAATTATTATGTTAGAAATTTATAATACTGTCAAAACTCTCCTTATCTTGACTGGATTTTTCGTCATTTTATACTATGGAATCGGATTTTTTAGACGCTTTCTTGAAAGGAAATATAAAATTCATATTGGATCAATAGGTTTTTTATCAATTGCCAACCTATCTTACAGTGGGAAGATTTCTGGTCCACAACAAACTCAACATTCTTTTAAAATTTCTGTAAATAAAGTTCATTTACAAATTAGAAGACCAAATTCAAGTCGTAAAACATGGCTTACCCTTATTATTGACGGTGCTTATTTTAACTTTTCTTCAATAAAAATATTTTTACAAACTACACAAAGAAAAAGAGTGCGTGCAAAGCATCATAGTTTAATCGCTACCGTACCTCAAAAAGCTTGGTGGTCTTCCGTTTGGGTTGTTAAATATGTTATGGGGAAAATTTCTTCAATTCCATTACAATTCTTCTTGTCAGGAATTGCAAATTTTTTTGATATAGATGTTACTAATGTCAAGCTATTAGTTGAAGATTTAGGACTATTCCAAATTGATGAGTGTACTTTGGGAATGGATTTGCTTGCTGACGTTGGTCGAAATCATCATCACGTTTTCTCTAAAAAAATTCTCAACTTCTCCTTCTCGTTTTCATCATTATCAATTCGTGATATTGAATCTGTTAATAAATCAAATAATAGTAGTAGTATAATTCAAAACCTTCCGAATATACTTCCTGCTATCTCTTTACTTCATCCAACCTTTATTACTTTATCTTTACATCTTTCTCCCGCCTGTACTTCACTAATATCTTCGGATTTTGATGTTTACTTAAATCGAATAAATATTGGTGTTGATTCCATACTTCGTTTGGTTAAAATTATTCAATCAAAACTTCCAAACAAAGTAATAAGGGGACCAGTTGAATCCTTAAATACCCGACCTTCGTCACCATCAAATAGATCACGAAGTTATATGATGGCTAATTTATTGGATTCTTCATTAGCTAGAAAAATGAGACTTTCTCGTAGAAAGAAGACTCCTGTTGAATTCCTTGGAAGTGTGAAGTTTAAGGTTGATCTAATTGATATTAAATATGAGTTTTCAGGATTGGATCATAGCAAATCTCATGAACTTCCTTTATTTGCCCAATTGTCATTTCAAGGACTCTCTATTTCACTCAAACAAGATATCCATTCAATTAATAATCATCGGGGATCAATACTTTTTCTTGAAGAAATTCCTAAACCTATAAAATTGAAAATGGGCTTTTCTATAGATGATATTTATGGTGATCTTGTAGATAAAAATCATATTGCTTCTCGAATGATTCAAGTGGATAAGGTCGAGAGCAAAATGTTAATATCTAAACCTCTCGTTACAGTTGCTGATTATGATCCAAATTCTTTATCATTAGACGGGACATTCGAGGTTCGTTCTCCCGAAATATCCGTGAATTTTAAACACCTTGATGTTATTATAAACGTCATCGATTCACTAAAACATCTTGATCTTGGAGGAAAGCATCCATCAACTCAACGATCACCCAAGCTTAAAGAACCAAGCCAGACGATGAATGGTATACCAAAATTAGTCGCTACTTGTTCTATAGTTAATCCACTTGTTAAAATTACAAGAATTCCATCTTCTACGCGAACTGGTGAATTTTCACAGATTTCCTTTGGATTTCAGGATATATCGTTCGATGTCAATGGTGACTATACGGAATTGAATGATTTAACACAAGTTCAACATCAACGTGTATTGTCAAGAAGATATACTCGAAGTTGGACTCAACCTAATTTCTCCTTAGTTTATAATTTAGTTGCAAGTTTAAAAACTCATAAGATGAAATTATATACTTTGGAATATGATTTATTTTTTAATAATTCTTTAGAATTTAATTTAGCGACTTCTGCGTTGGGAACTACGATTTCATTCAATAATAAGGAAGATGATACCGCTTTCACTACATCTTTAGAAACAGAAACGATTCAAATGGACGTCAGTTGGATAGTTGATCGGCTTGAAGTTAGCTTATGTGACAAATCGACATTTGATTTGTTAAAACAACTCATCGATATCACAACAAGGCTTAAACCTGAAAAACGTGAGGTTTCTGAACCGTTAATAATTGAAAAATCACCAGATCAAAGCGAAAAAGCTTTATTAATTTATCTAGAAGTACTTCTTTGTTATGTCACTTTTACCGCAATAAGTGTGAAAATTGCCGGGGTAGACTCATTTGTTAATTCATCAACATCAAGGGGAATAGATTTTAGGTTACAGGATATTGTATTTGATTATAGGGGGGCAAGAGCAACGATTGACCCTATTGCACGTTATAAAGGGTTTGGATTATCCACAGAAGATAGTGATGAAGTTCAACAGGACACTGGAGGTATTCTTCGAGGATTTGTTAGAGGAATAAAGTTGATGCCGATTTTAGCCATTTGGGACAAAGAATTGTTTAAGAATACAATTCCATTGTTGAACATACCAGATATAGAACTTCAGAGTACCCTATCATTTAAATACCTACAAAATGATTATGAATTAGTTATCAACCCCATGGTAAAAGTTCAAGAAGTTCATGTGAAATATTCATTACTCTATCATTATTGTTGCTTAGTCGGTGCTATTAATATCGTCCGATTATTACCAAGGTTCTCTGATAATGAGAAGAATGTGAAGAGATCCGTACCTACACCTTCCGATTCGCAGCGTGAAATATCGGCAAAAATTGATTTGAATGTCACGGTGAATCATATTAATGTGTCGATTGACCTTCCGGAAGATACCAAGGTTTTTGCGCGAGTGGATGGGATAAGTTATAAATTCGTTCCTCCTTCGGATCATGGAGTGAGAATTAAGAAATTACGTGTTTTTGGCACAAGTCTAGTGGAAGAAGGGCTATGGGATGAAATAGGTAGAGTCGAGAATACAAAAATTCTTCTTTTGGACGATGATACAAAATATGAAAAGGCTAAAAATAGTTCGAATGAAAAGGAATTGGACAAGATGATACGTATTCAATCCGATTTGATCCATGTCCGTATACCTCATAAATTCGTCCTTGCTGATGTTATTGAAAATATTGCTAATACGGCCAAAGCTGTGAAACATTTAACCGAACGTATCTTTGCTGGTGAGGAATCCAGTTTACCCTTAGGACCAGAGGAAGAGGGGGCAAAGCTTTTACCCACAATACAACTTAAAGTCGGATTGGTAACTTTCCGTTTAGAAGATGATCCATTCGAGGCAAAATTATCCCTGATATGGAAAGTTGGTTGTCTAGAACAAAAGGCTAGGTTAGGAAGAGATGCTGCTTTTGAGGCAAAGGCCGAAGCAATTAGAGAAGATGCTGCACAGTCAAAAAACAATGGAGAACAATCACAAAAAGAAAATGGCGGCGGGTTGCTACTCGGACAAGAAGAAAAAACGCGCGTCGGCAATTTTCGTCATCAACCATCTCCACGCGCGAATTTGAGCATTGATGCAGCGTGTGAAGCATTAAAAGAATATAACTCAAGAAGCTGGATTAAATGTGTAAAGGCCGCCGACCCATCACGTGTAAAATCGCAACAAATGGGCAAGGTTTCTCAAGTGGAATCCCTACCCATTCGAACGACCGAACCTTCAAAGTTTCCCTCTTTGTTTAATGTTACTATAATAAAGTTTGTTTTGACACTTTCAACGCCTTCCTTTCCAATGGAAGATTTGCCACAATATATGTACGAGATAGGAAAGGGCTTACCATTGGATACAAAATTTGCACTATTGGTTCCTATGCATCTGAGTGCTAAACTAAAAGAAGCGTGGGTTGAAATTCGCGATTATCCACTTCCCTTAGCTCATATTCCTTCTACAGATAATTATCATGGAAAGAATCCATATTCTTTCTTTCTGAAAGGAGATTTGGTGGTTGGGGAAGAACTAAAGGGTATGGAAGCGATAAGGAAGGCCTCAGTTGTTATTGTGACACCGCAAGGTGATGATAGTGCATATACAATCAAAGTTCCAAGAACTGTCTCGCCCGTGAAAATATATTCGGATCTCCATGTAAAGATTAATTCCTCACGACCAACGGTTTTTTCATGGGGTGTTTCTATGCAGCCAGCAGTTCAGCATTTTGCAAAGGTATTCGAAAGTTTTACTAAGCCTAATCCTGACCCTTCAGATGCTATTGGATTTTGGGATAAAATGAGAATCATGATGCATGTTAAAATATCAATGGAATTCAAAGGCACCGGAGACGTGCAATTTTACTCAAAAGGTTCTCGTGATCCATATTTAGTGACTGGATATGGGGTTGGTTTCGTCTTATGTTGGAGCAAAAACGTCGAAATTCGATTAGGTTATGCGAATGATCAAAATGAAGTACTTCAAGTCGATAGTCAAGAATTCACGTGTGCTATTCCTAATTTAGCTTCTGTCGTCTCTGATGGTAGCTTATCCGCAAATAATACAGGATTGGAAGCCAAACTTCAAAACGAGAGTATTAAAGATTCGGAGACCAGTACAATTCGAACTCAGAATTCATCAAATACGGTAGAATCTGAAGCGTTGTTTGATAACTATTTGAAGCGAGTAATGAAACTTTGTGGAGGTGTGAGATACGGTATGGGAGTTCATTTCCAAAGACTCTGCAATAAGTCATGTCCAGTTTGTAAAGGACAACGAAAATGTCGGCTAATAGATTTCATACCACATTATGAAATTATTACAAGAATACCTGAATATGCAATTGCACCGAAAGAGCAGGTAATGACTTTTTTAATTTACATCATTGTTATTAATTGTTATTAATTAATTTATTTATTTATCTTTAACGCTCGATCAATTTTTATTTAGGTATATGATTCCTTTAAGGGTTTCCGATCGGACTTTGTTCATCTTTCAGTCAGCGTTTCATGTCCCATAAATTTGAAAAATTCTGATGATTATCATCACGATAAAAAGGATTTACAAAATTCTATACAATTAAGTCCGAAATCGCTTCAACATGTATTATCATGGGCATTTCTTTTTGAACCAGCAATGACTATTCCTATTCGACAAGGAGCTCTATTTCCTTCTCTAGAACCTCCCTCTCCAAAACTTGGAAAATATCTTGGAACTATAAAAATTAAAATCTGTGTAGGGCCATTGTTCCTTAGTTATTTTTACAGGGAAGATGCTTTTGAAGATCCCTTAGACGGAAGAACACACATGGTAGGCATTAAGGGCAAGATTGAAAATTTCAAATTTGATATGCACCTCCGCAGCGAAGAGAAAATTATTGAGGTGGAAGGGCAGGAAGTTAAAGCTAGAGATATCATCCTACATGAAGCTGAGGTGGATTTGAAAAATTTGGATTTAAGAGGAATTGCTGTCCGATATATTGGAGAAAATATATTTTCGAACTTTTCAGATGAACATGAAAAGGATGAAAGAGATATGTTATTGGGGAAAGATGAAGATTTTATGGCATTACATGTTGACGATGAAGAGTGGGTTGATGTGAATGATTACATTGAATTGGATTGGATGCTACCGGACGTTAAACCTGGTGTCAGGGTATTACCTTTAATGAGAAGCCCGCAAATGATGTATTTTAAAAGTCCGAATGAAAATGATACATATGAAGATAAGAAAACGGACCAAGGGACTCATGTATGTGTGATGGGGCAGGGTCGAGGTAAGCCTTCAATAAAATTTTCCTCCCATTTTATTGAAAAGATCATGATATTAATGCGTTTATTTTATTAGATACTGTTAAAGTTCAAATTGATTTCCTAACCGAAAGGTTAAATCGATTAAATCAGGAGATAAGTCAGCAGACTAAGATATTAAGCAACATTGAAGAGAGGATTACCGCAGATTCCAAAAGTCCAAACCTACATCTACAAAATATGGTAGCTTTTTATTATTATATTTTATATATGAGTTAAGATTTCATTATTCATTTCAAATAATTTTTTTTTTTTATTGGTTAGTCACAATCTATACAAAACACCACTGCCACGTTATCACAAAAAAGAAATTTCATTCAAGAATATTTAAATGATTTAGAAGAACAACTAAATAAACCGGATCCAAAATATGTAGATGTGAAAAGTGATGATGAACAGGTTGATAATGAGAAAAAGCCTAGTTTTAATTCTCCTTTATGGGCTGATACTCATGGACATTTTGGTCATCGATTTATTATCCACAATGCTGAAGGGTTATGGAATAATTCATTACGTAACTTGATGTATAAATTTTTGAATCTCGTGGAACAACATCAAGGATTAACATATTATATGTCAATGAGTGCAGTCAAGTTTATAAGAGATTTGCAAAAGAAGATTCAGCAACAGAAAGAAAAAGAAGCCTACGAACATTCTCTAAGGAAAGAAAGTGATTCAATGTCTTCCGCTGGGTTAAACAATTATGATTTTGATGCACAAATGGCGGCTGAAATGTTGAGGAAGTTGGTTGGAGAGCAAAGTACAAGCTTTATTGTGCCTAATGAAATTCTTGTAGAAGAGGGTACAGGTGATCAAGGACAATCAAAAGATCTACATGATGAAATTCCTGAAGGCTATTCGTTACGAAATGATTTTATAGTTCAATTTATTAATCCTCAAATTAATTTACAATGTGAAAAAAATCCAGATTCCAGTATTATAATGTGTATAGAAAGAGCTCAACTCAAAACCTTTTCAATCGTAGAAGATTGGTCTAAAGGTGACCTGATTAATGAAGTTGTGAAAACAAGAATGTTCTTTGGTTTAGACAATGCTCAACTTTTTACAAGCACCAAGGAAGATTTCAAGAACGATTATTATTCAAAGATTTTAACGGCAAACAATTATGGTGCCAAGGGGCAAGACAATTGGCCCGTTTGGGTTCCTGTGGAGGTGTTAATTAGCAACACAAAAAACAATGCTTTACCATTTGAGCAACTGGTTAAACGAACTTCTGCCACAGCACAATATGACAAATTTAACAATTTACGTATAAAAGGAAGTGACATCAAAAAATGATGATCAGAATAATGAAAGTAACAATGACATCAACGAACAGGAGTCAAATATATTAGAAGTTGACAGTTCTAAGAAAGTAGAATTTGATAAAAGGATGGACTCCTTTCACATTAATGTTCCAAATCTTAAAATATCAGCAACTTCCGATCAATATTGTATATTTTTTGATGTTGTTACAGATTTATTTATGTATCGTGAACCAGCGCAAAAGGAACGTTCCGAAAGGTTACAGGCCATTTTACTTGCAGCGGATTTGGATGATCTTGAGGGTGCGGCCGAAAGAGTATCATCTTTACAAGAAAAAATTCGACAATTGGATGATTTAAGGCTTCAATATGAGTTACATTCAATAGAATTAGATGAAGAAGGCATGAAGGAACTTCGGGCAGTGGAGATAGAATTAATAAATTCACAAGAAGAATTATACCTTTTAATGGAAGCTATTACCGCTTCACAAGAGAAGAAACGTGATGCGGATTGTAAAGTTGCATTTAAACTCATAGCGACAGCAGATAAAGTAGCTTGGACTATGCAAGAGAATAACAGAAAACCAATTTGTGAGTGGAAATTAGCAAATGCGCATTTTGAATGGATGACAAAAGAAGAGAATAGTAGTACAAACACTTTAGAGATAGATCATGTCGTTGTAATGAACAAGCTTCCATCTCCTACATTTAAAGAATTAATATCACCATATATAATAGATAATCGTCCCGTGGATTTTCGTCGTAATAAGATGATTCGGGTTCATTGGGAAGAATTAGAACCTGTTGCCGGTATTGCAATGGTTGAACATTTTGAAATAAATATGTTTCCTCTTAAATTCCAGATGCAATATGATATTGGAAAACTTATCATGATGTACATATTTCCGGAGAAAAGGAGTGAATACGTAATAAAACAAAATAATGTCAAGGCAAATGAATTTGCACAAGTTGGTAATACTCCTATAGAACAAAAGAGAGGATCTATTGGTTCTGAACAAATAGTAAAGGTATCAAAGAAAATAACAGATTTATCTAATGATAGTTCTAGTACCGAAACTCAAGAAACATCTAGCGAATCTGATGTGGTTTCTTTCTCTGACGACGGAGCTTTAATTACGAATAATCCCACAACTGTTGGTAAAAAGCAATTATCAAAGACAACGACAGGAGATCATACGGAATATTCATCGGAGTTGGAGTTGATGAAAACAAGAGCTTCCCAAAACAGAACATTTATATATATAAAGGTTCCTGGTGTAACACATAATTTTAGTTATCAAGTAAGTTGTTTTTACTTAAGATTGCTTCGTAAATTTAGCAATAAAGTACATAATCAAATAAATTTATTGATTTTATAGGGCGTAAAAGAAAAGAATTTGGAAGATCTTTATGATTTTGTTTTCAAAATGCCAACTCTGGAGTATCAAAACAAAACATGGTCGTGGTTAGACTTTTTGGAGCAATTTAAAAAAGGTAAATGAAATCATGCTTTTTAAACCATATGCATCATAATTAAGTTATTAACATTGACATAATATATTATTAGACATTATTCGTACCATTCTGGCACATACTGGTTCATTGATTAATCAAAAATTCATTACACAGAAACGTGTTCGACCAATCACAGCAGAACCCACTATTTCCAATGAATCCAAAGAAATTGCCGTTCCTTCTTTAGCAGCATTGGCAACAGTTGTGGCTGCAGCTAACGTTACTTCGATGATGGATGGTGAAAACGTTGAAAATGAGCATGATGACGAAGGATCAGACAAAGTTTCAATTCTTAGTTACGAAAGTCAAGAAAGTCAAAAGAAAACGAGAGGTATAAAGTAAGTACAATATAATTTTAAACTGTAATAATAGAATCTTTTTCAACTTTTCTTGATATATCATATTTATTTATTTAATAGGTCAATGAAACACGAAAAGAGGGATTCTTTAACAAGACATATCCCTCTTACGAATTATTATATACATAAAGAAACTGGTGGAACGCCACATATTTCTAGCGCAAAACCTACTCCGACTTCTGCCGTAAACGAAGATATTGAGGGAAAAGGTAGATTATTATTGGGTAAATTGTATGATGAAACTAGATCAAATCAATCAAATCAAATGCATTAAGTATGGGATGTACAGTAGATAGTGTTTATGATATTTTTTAAATTTAAAAAAGATAATAGATATTTATTTTTATTTATTTCAGTATTTGATTATTATTTTATTGACAATCAATGCACACGTATCAAGTATTAATCCGAAAGTAAAAAAAAAAGATCTAACCAATCAGAAACGATAAACCGAATATCATTTAAAAAGTAATTAAATATACACAGTGTATCTCGATCAACGTATATAAATAAAGTGATTGCGTTTGACACGCATTCCACTCTTACAAGTCAAACATGGTGGGCTGCTCACAATATAATGAAGGAAATATGGGAAGAGAGAATACCCCGCAATTTAATTTTGTTATCGGTATTGCTATAGCAGTATCAACTTCATTTGTCCAATCTTTAGGTTTAACAATACAACGCAAATCTCATGTATTAAACGAAAATGTTCACCCAAAGGAACTTAGACGATCTGCATGTAAGCGACCATTATGGCATTTAGGTTTCGATACTTATATAATTTCAAATATAATTGGAAGTGTATTTTCAATCGGATATCTTCCAATAGTTATTTTGGCTCCCTTAGGGGCCGTGACCTTGGTCTTTAATGCATTATTCGCAAAGTTACTTTTGGGTGATGTGTTTACTAGGCAGACAATAATAGGTGCGTTTGTGTCCTCACTTAAATGTTTGTTAGATCTAAATCGATTCTCCTTCAATTTGAAATAATTGTTATCAATAATGTCCCGATTCAATTATAGGGACATTTTTTATTCTGATCGGAGCGGTAATGATTGCACTTTTCGGTGTTGTCAATGAGCCAAATCATTCATTAGAAGATTTGATTGAACTTTATAAGCGACCGGCGTTTATAACATATTTTTCCATAATTGAGTTCATGATTATGATTTTTTTAATCACAAATAAATTTGGTGAATATGCATTGAATCAAATGATTCGAAAGGAACGTGATATTACGTTTGGGTGGTCGGTGAAAAACTTTCAAAAGATTCTCGGGATTTCATATGGATGTGTTGGGGGTATGATATCCGGTCAAAGTTTATTATTTGCCAAGAGTGGTGTAGAATTATTACTTTTATCTATTTTTAATTGCGAAAATCAATTTAATCAACCATTTAGTTGGTTTATCGTAATAGCATTGATCGTTACCGCTTTATTACAGGTATTTGTTTCATTTCTTTTGATTTTCTCGTTTTGTTTTTTTTTCCTTCACGCACTATTTGTAATATTTTTCCCGATTTGGAATTTTCAGCTTTATTATCTTAATAAGGGACTGAGGTTATGTGACACGGTTATTTTAGTTCCTCTTTCATTTTGCACATATAATGTTTCCACGATATTTAACGGACTTGTATATTATAATCAATGGAATCGTTTACATTGGTGGCAAATATTTCTTGTCATCTTGGGTATATGTATCCTGATATGTGGTGTGCTTGTATTATCATGGCGAAGAAGTACGGCGCCAGAAGATGAATTATTAGTGGTGAAAGATGACAGTATGTTATTAGAACGTGATATTGAAGGATTAACCGAACTTTATGAAGAAGAAGAATTTAATAGATACGCAGAGAGCATGGATATGAATAATTCTGAATCATATCATTACTATTCTTTGGGAGAAAATTCATCCACCGCAGGGATGTTAACATTTGAACAGAGTGACGATGAGAATGATGAAAAATCATCTTTGCTGGGTAAAAGATAGATAGAATAGACATAGATTGGTTCATTTGGAATATAACTACGGTATATAATTTTACATACGTGTATTATTAATAATAAGGGAAGACAAAATAATTTGTTAAAGCTCTAATTTATTTCATTAATATATAAATATATATGTACAAATATTAATAAAATTTTCAGATATTGCGCAGTAATTATTAGATTTTCGAACACGACTTCACTATGCATTTAATTCATTTAATTATAAACGAAAATCATTTTTCATTCTAAATCGGTGAAAGGTATTTTTGATATGTTTCATAGTCATTTTGGTCATTTAAGTATGAAATCAAGCGGATCAGTTAAATAAGCCGAAAAACTTGATAACTAAGCTAAAATTCTTCGAGAATAACCTTTTAAAATATTGGATATATGCACGTTGCTTTAATTCACGTGATATGTTTGTACGATTTCAGGGGTTTTTTTTTTTTTGCTCGTATATTTGGTATTCCGAATTACCTCCGAGGTTTTCCAACATAACCAACTTTTTTGAACCAAGAAGAAATACCTTCTTTAAATTTCTTAACGTAAGTAGGGCAAATCAAATGTGATAAAAGGCAAAGATAAAGGTATTTCAAGAGAAGAAGATAGAACGTTCTGTGTTGTGTAAAGAATATAAGCTCTTAGTTGTGTAAAGAACCATTGTTACCCGAGAATAATTTTACGTAGTAATGTACCTTTGTATATTTGCCGTTTATTATTAATTTTATTTTAGTCTCTCTTCTCTCGAATATAAACAATACATGGGTTCCCCAATTGAAAATCCGTGGATTCAAAGCTCAAGGCCAAACCAACCCAATGTAATCACATTGTTCCTTGAGCCAATTAACGATACTTTCCAACCAAAGCGATTAACTTTGGTTGAAGGTGGTAGCATTAAAATTGGTCGTATGACCAACAAAGGAACGACACCAACAGAGTCAAATGGCTATTTTGACAGCAAGGTATTATCCAGGAACCATGCTGAAGTCAATTATCATAATAATCAAGTTTTCATTAAAGACCTGAAATCCAGTAACGGCACATTCATAAATGGCAAGAGGTTAAGTGCCGAGGGTAAGGAGAGTAACCCTATCGAGCTCAGACATGGTGACGATTTGGAATTTGGAGTTGACATCATTAACGAGCAAGACAAGAAATTGTTATTCCGTAAAGTTGCTGCAAAGGTTTGCCTCTCACAACCCGGAGGTAACATTTATGATCCTGTCATTACAGGAGTGGAGCATCACAAGATTACGAATGGACATGTATGTGATTTCAAATTTATTTATTCTATATAAATACATATATATATATATTTATTTATTAAACAACAACATTGATCTTACCTTCAGACGAACAATAAGCGACGTGGAGTTAATTCTTTGTTTGCAATGTTGGAGGTAATACTTCTAAAAGCATTTTTATTTATTTGATTTTATATATTGTGTTAACCAAGTGTATTTATTTTCTCAGGCTGAATTGGAAAATGCACGCTCTGAGTCGCAATATCTCGCAGAAATCGGTAGCATGCTTAATGATGCAAATAACACAGTAGATGCAAGAAGCAAACGGGTAAATCAAAGAATTTTTATTATCTAATCATTTACTTGGGTAAACTTAAATAAAAAATTAACGATTCAAAAAAAAAAAAAAAATCGTTATAGACACCTTCCGACAAGGTAATAGATTTTCGATTCTATGAAGAATCTCGCGCCATGCTTGAGGAAGCACGAATTAAACTTAGGGAAACAGAAGTGGAGTTAAATAAAGCGATATTTGCTAAAATGGATTATAAAGAAAAATTTATGGTTTCCGAAAAAAACTTTATTGAATTAAAACAAAGATACATTGTTTCTGAGAATAGGGTTACTGATCTGGAACAAAGATACACGTCATCCGAAAAGAAAATCGGAGAGTTGGAACAAACGTGCACGGCTTCCGAACAAAAATGTAAAGAGTCAAATCAGAAAGTGATTGAGCTTGAGGATAAGTGCAGAGTGTCTGAATCGAAGATTCACATTCTTGAGGACGCCTTACAAAGCACAGTTAGCGCTCAATCAAAATCTTGTAAATTTGATGATTTAGAGGAACGACTTACAAAGGCTACAAAGGAACTATCAGACACCCAGTTTACTCTTGACAAGACTCGTGATCAACTCAAGAAGTCCGAAAAAGAGCTTCATGCTTCGCAGAAGAAATATAACGATGCTAAGAAAACTATTAAGGATCTTCGTTCCGGTGAAGATTCATTCGAACACCGAAATGAAGAGAAACTTTCACTCTTATCTCGCATACAATCTTTCGAAGAAGCATCCAAGAAAAGTGATTCCGAATTTAGCATTCTTCGGGAACAACTAAAGAAAGCTGAATCTCTCAACAAGATTTTAAAAGAGGAAGTAGAAAATTTACAAGAACAATTCGAGATGAGAGTGGAAGAAGAAATATCCCGACGATTAAGCTCTTCTCAAGGGGGATTGTGGCGCCGCCACAAGAAGCAGGAGTCTGAGCCTGTTAAAGAAGGCGAAATGACCGACGAACGTGCGATCGAAAGTATGATTTTCGATGATAAAAAGTCCAACAAGAAGTCTAAAAAATCCATCTTAATTAAGGTACTTTCAGTTAATTTTATTGGTTTTTGAAATCATTGTTAAATAAAATTTATCGACTTCATTTATGGATAATAGGGATCAATTGGTATCGTAGTTCTTGGAATTGGCACTTGGTGTCTTTCCAAATTTTATTCTTGAATGAACAAAAATAAAAGCACTACTAAACATCATTTCATACATGGAGCTAATAATCAAGTCATGTCACTGCGTAGCATATTTCTTAAACACAATTACATGGTGTGTAAAATATCTTTTTTCTCTTTTCATAAGTATATAAGAAGGAATATGTATTAAATACTTTGTTTATTAGTTACCCCAAGGATTTCGATTAGGTCAGTAAAGAAAATTTTTTTTTTCGTTATACTAATTTAATAATAAGTAATGTAAATAGTATTAATATTTCATCTAGCCTTTGGGTTGTAAAATTATCATCATGCAAATCATAATTAGCACATAATATTCATTGAAAACATAATATAATTTTAATTTAACTACAATAAATATTTTATCTTCACTTTCATTATTAAACTTTATATAAATATATAATATATTGTATAACAGAATTATTTTTTATTAATAAAATCTGAAATATTCAATATAAATTAATGATTAATTAATCAAAATGTATTATATATATAAATATTATTGAAAAGAAATTACAGTATATATA